GTAGCATGTGGAATTACAGGTGTCGTGCCATCATGCCCCAGCTAATTTTGTATTTTTTTTTAGTAGAGATGGAGGTTTCACTGTGTTGGTCAGGCTGGTTTCAAACTCCTGACCTCAATTGATCCATCTGTCCTGGCCTCCCAAAGTGCTGGGATTACAGGCGTGAGCCACTGTGCCTCGCCAACTTGGTAGTTTCTAATAAGTACTTGTCTAACAGAGAATGCCCTTCTTGCCCTTCTTGCTGGATATGACTAATGGTTTTTTTTTTTTTTTTTCCTTCTGCAGTCATTTACTCATTTGCTTTTTTGACTAGATGCCTTATTCTGAAATTGTCAATTACAGTTTTCAGAGTATCATGAAATTCAATTATGCCCACATAGGACATTTATAAATTTTGCATGTTAATTTATTCCTTTGTTTTATAAGCTGTAAGTGTGTGTATATATGTGCTCTACAGCCAGGTGTGGTGGCATGCACCTGTAGTCCCAGCTCCTGGAGAGGCTAAGGTGGGAGGTTCCCTTGAGCCCAGAAATTTAAGTCCAGCTGGGCAACAGAGTAACACCTTGTCTCTAAAAAACAAATAAAATTGAATTTAAGTAATATTTTTGGCAGGGTGTGGTGGCTCATGCCTGTAATCCCAGCACTTTGGGAGGCCAAGGCAAGAAGATCTCTTGAAGCCAGGAGTTCAAGACAGCCTAGGCAGCAAAGTGAGACCCTGACTTTATAAAAATAAAAAATAACTTTTTTAAATTAAAAAAATAAAAACTATGTTTTAAATGCTTAAATATTAAAACCTTGATTACCATACCTAGAAAAGTACTTGAAAGCTTTACATAGAATATGCCATAGATCAGTAACTTAGGTTCAATCATTGATGGAGGGCTGGAAACCTAATTTTTAAAGTGGGGAGGAAACTATTGGATCATATAACTAAGCCATCCAGCTTCAGAAATGGATAAAAGAGATAAAAATGTAATTAGAAATATCTTTTTCTTTGTCTTACCACTGCTTTCCTCTGTACTTCCTTTATTTCTCAACAAGCTTTCTTCATATGATGGTAGAGATAACCATCAGTATCTCTGAAACTAAGAATCCCAACAAAGAAAACCCCTTTCCCAATGGTCCCAGCAAAAGTTCCTGA